CCTCTTTCTTTCCCTAGGAGGTAACCTTCACTCCCCTCTTGTGCTAAGTCTGCAGAACCCTACCTCAGCAGACCCCTTCCCATCCTCCATGCTGGGGAAGGCAGGTGTGGATCGGCCAGGCCTAGAGCATATGGTATAGTACTGATGGCAGAAGGAGCCAGAGGGCATTGAGAGAAAGTGGGGAATGAGAACAAGTACAAAGCCAAACTGTAACAGCCTCTTTGTTTAACCACTGAGTCAACTGATCAATCGATAAACATTTTTTAAGCCCCTATTCTGTGCCAGGTGCTGTTCTAGGTCCTGAAGGTACAAGTTCAAAGAACGGAACAATCCCAACTCACAAGGAACTCACTTTCTAATGGGAGAAACAAGTACATACAGAAATACCCATAGCCTATTGTGTGTTCCCAGCCCACTGAAACTGGAGTCATTCCATTCACCACTACAGAGAAGAAAGGAATGCAAACACAGTAACTTCAGAAGGCTCCACTGGAGAGTTAATGGCCTATCAGAGAAAGAGATCTGGATTGTGACTCTCAAGGTTCACAGACTTAGAGGGGACCTCATTCACAATTATAAGACACTGGTTCAAATCCTAACTACCACTTTCTAGCCATGTATGGTCCCAAGGGCAAGTCACATAACTAATATGAGCTTTACTTTTCTCCTCCATAAAACGTGCATCATCCTCCTTCATGAGATTTCTATGACAGAAAGGTTCAGTAAACTGTAAAGGACTCTAAAAAGATGAACTATGAATTCATGGCCACTGACAGGAAGATTTAGTCAAGGTACAGAATAAGATTGCTGGAGAGGTCTCATGTGAGAATCTGTTTGCTTGACTATGCATCTCGTTAAAAGAAAGGATTTGTTTTTCATTTAGGGACAAGTATAATGGAGCTAGTGATGCCAGAAAAAAAGAGTAAAAGAAAGAAGACAGGTCAGTGAAGCATTTTTTAAATGTACAGAAGACAACAGAAGAAAGGTCAGAGAGAGACAGAGACAACAGGACAGCTTGAAAATGAATGTGTTGGATTATATACTTTTAGAAATATAAGCTGTATGTAAGAGATTCAGTTTCATAAATAATCTGTTGGTGTTTGTTAAGTTCTAAGTAAAAAATTTAAAAACATCTTTTGTATACTAAATAATATCTCACATATGTATTATTATTTTCCAATATATCTGGTTACTGCTGTGACTAAAACAATACAAATTAATTTAAAATCATTACAGTTATTACTTCTACATTGTGACTTTCCCCTTCATGGTTTCAATATATTGTGGGTCAGCATAAAAATTAAATGAGAATTTTGGGGGAGTTTTGCAGAAGCCATAGATGACACATGAAGGCCAGCAAACAACACAGAAAAAATTATTTTTCATATGATATTCTTATTTAACATTGACCTACATATATAATACTTAACCCCAAATTTTACAATAAGGTACTGTAAATACACCATAAAAGAAAAAGAGAAAATTCAGACTTCTCTGGTGAAAAGGGAGGGCCAAAAAAATTTTATGCAGATTGTCTAGATTGCAGGGATGCTACACCCCTAACCCCTGTGATATGGAAGGGATAACCATACAGAATTCACAGTACCTTTTTATCATTATACTGTTTCTCAACGAATGGATACTAATAGCATAATCACTACTGTCAGAGAAGGATTAATTTAAAATACATAAAAGCTCTATGATTTCATGGTATGAGCATTCTTTCTGCCAACACTCATGAGATCCCTCCATGCTTCTATGTAGGGCTGTGATAGAAAAAAAAATCACCTGCTGACCAACTTTCTTTTAATAAGCCTCAAATCCTTCATCTAGGCTGGTTTTTGACAGTCCCTTGCCAAGCTTCTACTCAAATCTTTTCACCAGATTGGCAGGATCAGCCAAAAGCTTGTTCTGCCCACTGGCAGAGCCTCCTATTAAGGGACTAGGTGAACCAGACTCACATCTTTACCATAAGGATGCATCAGACGAATGCAAACTCCACTGTCTCCCCATTACTTAGAGGTAATGCTAGGTAAATGCTAGAGCATTTAAAACCCTTCATAATCTGGCTCCAGCTTACTTTTCCAGGCTGATTCCATATTTTTCCCCTTTGCATAGTTTTCATTGTAGTCAAACTGTACTACTTGTGGTCTCACAAATACCAAATTCATATGACCTCCCTCCACGCCTTTTCAAAAGGTCCCTGGTCCCTGGAATACCCTCCCTGTGCACCTTCAATAGCTTACTTAAAAGCTTAGTTTTGCCACCTCTCACAGTAAGTTTTTTCTGATCCCCACCCCAGATGAAAAGGTGCTCCCAATTTCCAACCCCCAACAATTACTAAAGTCTACATATTTCTTATGTGCATATACACAGCCTTCCTCATTATCCCCCCCAAAAAAAATGCACGGATGGTTTCCTTTTCATTTCTGCATTCCCAGAACCTAGAACGGTGGTTGGTACATAGCAGAATGTTAATAAATCCTTATTGAATGAATGTGTTATGCATATGGAACTTTCTGCTATTGTGGAATGGTATCCTTCCTCATCAGTTTCTACTCTGACAACAAGTCTGGAAGTAATTTAAAATCCAAGCCACACAGAGAACTAAATCATCCCCATCTCTCCCCAGCCCCAGTCCCAGGCTCCCCACCCCCCCAGCCCCATCCTGCCTCCAACTCAGATCTCATCTCCAGCTGCTGTAAAAACAGCCACATGGAAGCCATTCTGCTGCCTCAGCTCCAATTATCCACTCATGCTGCCCCCTACCCCCCACCCCCACTGGGACCAGCTGATGGGGGAAGGGCACTCCCACCCTCAACAATATGGGATAACTGGCTCTATGCCATAGCATTATAAAGGCTGGACTTTATTCCTGTAAAAAAAAAAACTGTCAACTGCAATCCCTGCCTAGGTTCTTGCCTGTATCTCTCCATTTCATCTAGTTACTCTGGCCTATCTACTCTGTTACTTAATAGGGAATAGGTCTCAGATTCAGTCTAAGACCAGGGTGGGTGTCAACCTGGAAGACCTGAGGTGGCAGCAGCAGACACCACACAGAGCTTCCTTCTTTCCCCAGCTCTTCCCCTCTTTTTCTTCCTCACTGAAAGGCAGTGTGGTGTCACAGAATATTAACCCTGATGTCAGGGGAGACTTGGATTCAAATCCCATCTCAAAAACGTATTAACTATGTGAACTCAAGACAAGTCACTTCAACTCAGCTCAGTTTTCTCATATGCAAAATGGAAAAATTGGACTTATACTGCAATCCAGGGTTATTATAATGAAAGCATTTTATAATCCCGAAAATGTTCTAGAAGCGCAATTATATGCTGGGATACAACAACCAAGCTTGTTCTCAAGAAGAGAAATAAGAATGCCCATCCCTTCTTTCTTTGTGGAGGTGGGGGACTATGGGTATGGAACATTTCATTTAATGTTGGTTTAATTTTGCTGAACTGGTTTTTTTTTTTCTTTTATAGTCTTTGTTTTAAGGGACCGCTCTCTAGGAAGGGAAAGAATACACTGGGAAATAAAAGTGAAATGATAATATAATAATAATGACAGTAAGTAACAACCAGCATTTACAAAACACCTACTAAGGCACTGTGCTAATTACATATATAATATATAAATAAATGTTCCCATTTTAAAAATGAGAAAATTGAGGCAGAGATTAAGTGACTTGCCCAAGGTCACACAGCATAAGTATCTGAGCCCAAATTTGGAACTCAGGTCTTCTCCAGTGTGTCACCTACCTTACTCAACAAAATATATCAATAAAGCATTTTAAATTGATATTATTTTCCTTAACTCTCACTTTCTTCATGTCTCCTACTACAATCTTACGTCTGATAACAGCCTGGTGATCAAAGTTTTGGGGCTGACCCTGGATTCCAAAGGCTGCTCATCCACATTGCACATTTCAGTACCTCCCAAAACCATCTTCTGGGAAATTATGTTTTTGAGATTATGGTTTTTAATAAACCTTCTTTGAACAGAGTTTTGTCTTCCATAAAATTGGGGAAATTATATATATATATATATATATATATATATATAAATAAAATATGTATTTATATATATAATATATATATATATATTATATATATATTATATATATAATATATATATTGTGTGTGTGTGTGTGTGTGTTTGTGTGTATGTGTCCCCTTACTCCCTCTCCAATCAGAAAGCAAGATGTTTGCAGAGAGAGATTACTCCATTCACTGTATTTCTCTCCACAGCTGCTACTGCAGTAATAAATGCCTGCTGAATGACCTGGGGCCCCCAGAGAGCTGACTTCGCCAAGGTCGCACAGCTAGTAAGCAGCAGAACAGGGATTCAAACTCTCGTCCTATAACTCTAAACTCTGTGTCTCTGTCTGTCTGTCTGTGTGAAAGACCAAAGACAGCACAGACCCAGAGATCGACTCCCTGAACAGCCAAGATGCTACCAAGCTCTCCAGCTTCACTTCTCACCGCTCCCCTTCCCAAGTGGCCATGTGATAGGAAAGACAGCAGACTGAACTTCAATAATAATAACAACAATAGCGTCCCAAAGGACACTGCATTTTTAAATTAGCGAAGTTTTTCCCACAAAACAACCTTGTCAGGTAGGTAACATATGGATTATTATCTCCATTTTGGGGGGGAAGGGGGGAATTAGAGCATGAGTGATTTCACTGGTACAGGGAACTCCCAAGGAAGAGACTTCCTCTCTGATACAGTTCTGCACCTTCTATACAGCTCAACCAGAAGAGAGGTGTCTCGGGCACTCAAGGGTTAAGTGCTGTGCCCAGGGTCACACCGGCAATATGTGGCAGCTGCTGGATTTGAACCCAGAGCTTCCTGAACGGGAGGGGCAGGGGGAGATTCTCTGTCCATTATGTCACACTTCCTCTCATCATCATCATCTCACAGAGGAGGAAGTGGAGGCTCTTAGGGATGAGGCCACACACCCCTGTTCTAACAGTAAGTATCTAAGGTAGAATTCTAACACAAGCCTCATGACCTCAGGACCAAGTCTCTACCTCCTACATTCCAGCCCCCACATAGAACATCGTGGGCAGCAACTGCATTGTTTTGGTCATTCTGACACCAGTACGCAGAGACAGTGACCAGCTCAGAGAAGGCTCTTAATAAAGGATTGTTGACTGGTTGATTATAATTGAGGTTACAGTCACTAAGCTTCCATTTCCTAGTCTAAAAACAGGAATGATAACTGCTGCCCTACCAACCTCAGAGGGCTAGAAGAGAAGGCACATGGAAGAATCCTGCAAATAATAAGGTGCTATGGAAACATAAGGTAGGATTTATTACATCCACAATTCAGTCAAATGATACTACTTGCTGTTCCTTGAACATATTCCACCCCTTTGTCTTGATAATGTTCTTTCATTTGCCTGGACTGCTTTTGTCCCCACAAGCTCATCTCCCTTTCCTAACCATCAGAATCCTACCCATCCAATTCACCTTACAGCAAAAGGGCTACATGACCTTGAGTAAGTCAGCTCTCTCCCTTCTGGGCCTTGGTTCCCTTCATGCTAAAACACTATGACCTAAGCAGTCTTCTAACACAGATATCCTAAGAGCCCTCCCAGCTCTCAAATTCTGAGTTTATGATTCATTAATTCAACCAGTATTTATTGAGTGCCTACTAAATGCAGAGCGCTATGCAAGGCACTGAAGGGTTCCTGTCTTCTCTTTCAACAGAGAAGAAATAAAAGTGATAGTCTGTGGCAAGTAAGTAAGCTCTCAGGGAAGCAGGAGGCTTTTCAAGAGGTCTAGGGCCTCCTTCAGGATGGACAAGCAACAATCGTTGCTGACAACAGTGGTCCCATAAGCATAGTCTACCTGAGCAAGCAACCAGTCCACCAGTTTGCTCCCAGGAATCACGGATTTGTAGGTCTTCAAGTGGTAGTCTCTGTCTCTGCATTAAAAAAATAAATATAAGTAAACAAATGTGGGATATTAAGGAAGATGACAGATGGATGGATATATGGATAGACAGAAAGACAGATGGATAGACAGCACACAGATAGATAAGTCTAGCTCTCATTTCTACAACACTTGACAGCTTACAAAGCAATGCACTGCCAAAAGCCCCAAGCAGTATCATTATCCCCATTTTATAGTTGAAGAAACTAAGGTTCAGAAAGACAGTCATTTGGCTATCCATAGGTGTCTAGCCAGTGACTATCAAAGGGATCTAAATAGGACCTTTGGCTTCATGTTCCAGAAATTCTGCAGCCCGGAAAGGTGGTTTTTTTCATAGAATTAAAGAGTCAGAGTTAGAAGAGTTCTCACAGGCCATAGATTCTAATCCTCTCATTTTACAAAGGAATTGAAGCATAGGAGGTTAAGTCACTTACCCAAGGACACACATCTAATAAGTGTCTGAAGCAGAATTTATTTGAACTCAGGTCTTCCTCATTCAAGGGAAGGCACTCTAACCACCACATAGGATTCAACATCTAAGCTAGAAGGGACCTCAGGTGCAACCCAATTCAAACCTTTCTCTTTACAAATAATAACTAACATTTATATAGTTTGCAACGGGTTGCTAAGTGGTGCAGTGGATAGAGTTTCCTCATCTGTAAAATGAGTGGAAGCAAACAGGGTTAAGTTACTTGCCCAGGGTCACACAACTAGTAAGTGTCCAAGGGCAGAGTTAAACTCAGGTCTTCCTGACTCCAGGCCTGGTGCTCTATCCACTGTGCCACCTAGCTGCCACAGAAATTTCCTCTACAGCATCCCTAATAAATGGTTAACCAACCTTTAAACAAAAGATCCACCTCCTACTGAGGCAGCCTCTGACACCCTCAGGCAGCCCGAATTAGTTAGGAAATCCTGTCTCACATGGGGCCAAAATCTGCCTCCTGGCAACTAATACTGTTTATTTGTAAAACTACCTCCTCCTCCCCCCTACATCCTAGCTCTCACTCCCACCTTACCCTGCATCTTTAGGGGGAAATCAGTCATTAGAATTCCTTCTCTCTTTAGCCCACTATAAAACTCCAAATGGCAGGGGCAGGGGCAGGAATCAAAGAGAAAGGAGCACCAGGGCAATCTGCCCAGAATAGCACCTGCTTGCCCATGGAAACACTCCCTGGCATGCCCCCAGACTCATGCCTTTGAGCTCAACTTCCTGAAGAAAGAGGGGAGGATGCTGGAGACACGGAACTTTTCCCGACTATTCCAGGAGGCCTGGGGATGAAGTTCAAACTCCCCTTACTCTTGGTAATATAAGTCTCAACTAAATCCTTTAATGACAATGTCTAATAATTTGGATAAGCAGGCTGGGCTAATGAGGATACTTCCTTGTATCCAGGAAAAGAAGCTAAGTTGTCATACATAAGCATGTGCCCTGAGCATTGCTTCTTATAAGTTAGAACTGATTTTGACACAATCAGGGGATGTAAAATGTCAGAGCTAGCAGGGACCTTAGAATATAGGCTGTCAGAGCTGAGAGAGTTCTTACGACATGGAACACAGAATGTCAGAGACAGAAGGGAAGCCAAATGTCAGAGCTGAAAAGGCACCTAGTGTAATCCCTTCATCTAACAGATGAGCGAACTGAAGCCCAGAAAGAGAAGTGACCTGCACTTCTCCAAGTACAATGTAAGCATCCTGAGAAAAGGAAATCTCTCCTAGTGTGACCTCCCTCGTTCTGAGAACAGGACCAGACTCATGGAAGGCTCTCAGGAAAGACATAAGGAACAGCTCTACACCACGGAAGCTGATTAGTTTTGTCCTCTGAATATACCTGATGGCTTTCATGGGGTGAAACAACATGAGCACCATCCCTCCCCAGTTGCTTCTTCCCTCCAGGCCCTCTGAGGCTCAGTGAAGCATGTTATGATGAACAGTACCCAGTCTGTCTGTCTGCCTCTCTTTCTCTCTGGGGCTTCCTGGTTCATTCCTAGCTCCTGAGCTAGAAGGGAACTTCAAAGCCAATCTTCTCATCGATAGGTAAAGAAAAAGGTACAGAATCACGTGTTAATGTGATGAAAGAAGTCTTTCAGGGCTAAGTGAGAATTAAACACCTTGACTAGCCCCATGAGGAGACATTTAAGGTTAAACTTGCATGTGTTATAATTTCAGCAGCAGGGAGGAATTAAGAGTTACTTGTTTACATGATTCTAATCTCAATTCTTCCATCTATGAACTTCCTAAATGACCTTCAACTCTCTGGATCTCAATTTATTCTTTTGTGATATGAGAATACACCAGATGCTCCTAAGGTTTGTTCAACTCCTAATATTCTATGTTCTATGTCACAATGCCACTTCCTGCCCTATTATATTTCAGGTTTTATGTTCTAAAGCCCCTTCCAGCTCTGACATCCCATGTCTTTAGGTCCACTCACATTCTATGGAAAAGGGAATTTAGCACACCAGATGGAGTGTCAGATTTAGCAGTACCTGGGTTCAAATCTCACCCTTAACACTTGCTAGCTCTGTGATGTTATGTAAGCCACTTAACCTGGGGACGACAATAATACCTATAATTACCTACCTTGCAGGATAAATACTCATCAGTATTACTGCTGAGTGGACCAAAGGAGATGGTGAAACATTCTGCAACAGCAGGAAAAGGGGCAGTGTGTTGAATAGTGAACATAAAACTAACCTTAAAGTCAGGAAGACTTGGGTTCCAGTCTGGCCTCAAATCCTGACACGTACTGCCCAAGTGACCCTGGGCACTCAGGGCCTCAGACACCATGGACTGCAGACTATAAATTGTAGGACTGTTGCAGACTGGGCATTGGTAGATAGAGGGCATTTCCTTCCCAGGAGTTCTCTACAGCCCTGAAATCTCCAGCCTCAATAGCAACAGTAATCCTAGTAACAGGAGGGGAGACACAGGGCTGGGGAAGCCAGAGAAGAAGGTGAGCCAGACCACAAGGGAGGCCCAAAAGAGGAGATTCTCACAAATAGAATTATGAAAGGGAGCTCAATGAAGAAAGCAGAGGACTGGTCCAGAGAGGAGGCGTGCAAAGTCAGACTTACTTGATCACTGGAGTGAAAAGGCTATGCAGCCGGCAGTAAAGTCTCACACCCTACAGGAAGAAAATGAACAAGAATTAATTAAGTGCTTACTGTGTGCCAGGTTCTGTGCTAAGGACTTTTTAAAAATATTGTCTCATTTGATCCTTACAACAACCCTCTGAGGTGGGGGCAATTATGATCCACATTTTACAGTTAAAGAAACTGAGGCAAACAAAGATTAAATGACTTGCCCAGCAAGTAAGAAAGCAACAAGGCTTCCATCAGTGCTTCAGTAACCAGCACAGAGAACGCACATCTCCTAACAGAAGCTTTTCAAAACACTGTCCATTCTCTATCATTCTCAGTAACAGAGTGGTTTCGGAGGGGAGAAGGAGAAGCTGGGGGTGGCTGGAGAAGGATAGAGATAATTTAAAACATTAAGTCATTCTACAACTCATTATGCTTGCCTTGGGAATTAAGCCTGATTATTTTTTGTCTCTAACTCTCTTCTGCTCAGTGAATACTGAAGTAAGCCTGGAATCTCTGAGGATACACCAAATAACAGCATGGGAGCCCAGAGGGAAGTCAGTTTGAGATGGAATATCTGCTTCAGGTCACCCGTCACGTTGCATTTGCCCCTTTCTTACATATTTGCTATGCTAGTGTTTCTTACTCTTAGTGAGGTACCTGTATCTTTTCTCCTCTACTGAACAGTAAAGTTCACCAGGGCAGGGACAGTGTCTAACTGTTGTTCTCTTTAGCTCTATTCCACAATACAGCATACTGTCAATAATGAAAAGTTAATGAAAGTTGGACAAAATTCCTGTGGGGCTAAAGGCTTGACTTTGGGGACTGTGTAGATTAGTCTGAAAAGGTAGCTATAGCAAAGCTTAATATAAATCACTATCAAGGTCTGTCTTATCAATGGCTGAGAGAGAGTCCCTGAGAAATGAGACAAACAAGTCTGGATTAGGAGAAGGGAGAGACCTATTGGTTCTAATTCTTATTAACAACATCACTAATGTGAAAACATGTTTAATAGGAATGTACATGTATAGCCTATATCAGATTGCGTGCCATCTTGGGGAGGGAGGTGGGGAGGGAGAGGGAGAAAAATTTAAAACTCAAAAGCTTATGGAAGTGATTGCTGATAATTCAAAATAAATTAATGAAAAAAAATTTTTTTAAAGGAGAAGGGAGAGTAAAGGCCAGAGCACAGAATACTGTCCTGGAAAGGTCATTTCAGGTTGTGTGATCTGGGATGGGAGATTACCATGAGGATGTATCAGGGTTGGGGGGAGGGGAGTCAGCAGTACTGAAGTCAAATTTCACAGATGTCCAGGAGGTAGAAACAAAAAGACACCATGGGGGCCTGAGTCAAAAACAGTGACCTTAGTAACTTAATCAGCAAAGGAGTCCTTCTAGGAGTCTGTTCCACTGGAGAAAGGAAGGAAGGAAATTTTGATTTACTTAAGGGTATTTGAAAGTCTGTCTTCTATCCAGCCTCTGCTTTGGAAAGAAATATCCTACCTTACTAAGGTTGGGGGAAAATGAGAAGCCCTATAACTTGTTGGAGGTGAGCCTAAGGACCCAGGAGAGCTGGAAAGAAGCCTTCCATTTAAAGAAAGCTGATAAGGAGCCCATTTTGCTGAGCACCAGAAGCCCAGTACCTTAGACATGATGTCCTCCAGCTCACTTCTTGGTTTATATGTACCGTCGTCATACCGGAACCTGTACATTACTTGTTCGTTCTTAAATTGATGTTTGTCTGAAACTAGAACATAACACACTAATGAGGTAGAAAACGTAAGTCCTCAGAGATCCAAACCATGCTAATCACTATTGCTTCCAGACTCCCAGAAGAAATAACTGAATTTCCCCAGACTAATCTCCTCCTTCTCATTTGGTCTATAGAAAAGTGGCCACTCTTCCATCCTATGAAAGAGGATTGTCTAGGTTCTCACATGAACCATATAACTGATGAAAAAAGCCATAACCCATAACAACTAACTATAGTAGAAAACGATCCTCCTAGGATAGGGCAGTCTTCTTGTTTGGGACTCAAATCCACAATTTTAGTGCCACAAACAAAGTTCCTTTCCCAAATATGCCAACCCTGATTTTTGTGAGGAAAGATGGAAGCAGGAAACAGCCTAGGCAGTCTGAGACCCCAGATAATCAACCTATTGGACTCTGGCATCCATCATGAGGGCAGATTTTCAAAGACTGCTTTTGGGAGCCTGATACAGGATGGGGCAGTGTTAAGGAAGCCCTTTAACTTACATAAGGCAAGCCTGGGAACATGACACAGCTGACTAAGGCATGAGGCCCAAAAGGGAACTTCCTCCATCATTAAGACAGTCCAGAGTATGGTGGGAAGAGTCCAGGACAGAGTCCGAAGGACATGGTTTTATTTAATTTTATAATCTTCCACCTACCAACTATTTATGTAACCCTGGGGCACAAGGTTACCTCACTGGCCCTCAATTTCTTCATCTCTCATGTAAGAGGGCTGGACTAGATTATTTCTAAAAAAGAGGCATTAAATAAGCAACCTATGACCCACATGAGCTACTTTTAATGTGCTGAAGTTCTAATAAAAAAGAAACATATAAACGCATTGTTTTCTAAGTCAATATGTGGCCCACAGGGATCCTTATATATGGCTTGGTGGGCCCCATTTCTATTTGAGTTTAACCACTATTTTAAAAGACCACTTTCTAGTTCTGTGTTCTATGTTCTAAGTTCCCTTCAAGTTGTGCCATCTAAAGTTCCTTCCATCTCTGACATTATGTTCTATGTCCTAAAAGTCTCTTTTATCTGTGACATTATGAATTCCTTTAATAGTATGAATCTATATACACATGAGGCACAGCCATAACTTTTTGCCTTTGAGCAAGAACAGCAATGACAGCAGCAAGAAGGTGGCACAGTGGACAGAGCACCTGGTCTGAAGTCAGGAAGACCCGAGTTCAAATCTGGCTTCGCACACTTACTAGCTGTGTGACCCTGGGCAAGTCACTAAACCTCATTTGCCTTAGTTTCCTCATCTGTAAAAAAGCTGGAAAAGGTAATGGCAAACCACTACAGTATCTTTGCCAAGAAAATCCCAAATAGGGTCATGAAAAGTCAGAATGACTAAATAACAAGTAATGATAGAGAGCATAGTTCTCCCATCATTCAGGCTCCTAACATTAGCACTGGACTCAGCAGGGCTTCCCTGCATCTTAATTAAAGATCAAGGACCTGTGAGAAAGCAAGGCTTCCATTAGTCACCAGAGAAATCCCCTTTAAAGATGACAGAAAGGTCTCAGACAGACAGAGCCCAAAGAGGGCATTTATGATTCTGTGATTCTCAAGTTCTAAGAGTCCAATGATAACAACTCATATTTGTACAGAATTTCAAGGCCAACAAAGCCATCTCTTCACCAGTAGGCTGGACTAGCTGATCTCCAAAGGGCCGATCTGTCTCTAATTTCTAAATACAGAACCCCATAAGGTGGACTGATGCAGAGCTAGAAGGGATGTTAGAAGGCCATTTAGTCCCTTTCATTTTACAGAGAAGGGAAATGAGGACCAGAGGAAGTGAAGTGACTTGCCCAAGGTCACATAGGTAGTAACAGACGCAGGATTTGAAATACAAATATTACTAACTTCATTTTACATAAGAAAACTGTGGTCAAATGACTTGCTCATGGTTATACAGTAACTGTCAAGCTTCTTTGCCTTCCATCTCCTAGAATAGGGATTTTTTTTTTTTTTTGCTTTTTGGTGGGGTAGTCAGGGTTAAGTGACTTGCCCAGGTTCACACAGCTAGTAAGTGTTAAATGTCTTAGGCCACACTCGAACTCAGGTCCTCCTGACTCCAAGGCTAGAGCTGTATCCACTATGCCACCTAGCTGCCCCTAGAATAGGGATTCTTAAGCAGGAATCCGCAAAACTTCTTAAAAAGTATTTTGAATGCCATATTTCTGTATAATTGCTTTCCTTTGCAACCAGAGTTATTTAATTTCATGCTACCAAAAATATTCTTTTGAGAAAGGATCCACAGACTTCACCAGACTGCCAAAGACACCTATGACACGGAAGAGGTTAAAGGCCCCTGCTACAGAGCAGAGGACCTGAAATACCTACTGTGAGTCCTCTTTTCCTGAAAAAGAGAATCAAAATGCTGCAATAAAAGCCGTGTCTAATTTATCCAGAAATCCTACAAGGCAAGCCCTAGCTGCACTTACCATGTACCTGCCACGTGGGCAAGAAGAAATAAGAACCATGATCAGAGTAACTGACACTTATATAGTTTGTTTAGTTCTACACAGTCCTATGTTGTAAGATGATTAACTCTGACAGACTTAGGCCTTCTCAGCAATGCAAGGATCTAAGACATCTCCAAAAGTCTCATGATGGAAAATGAAAAGAACTATGGAGTTTGAATGCAGATCGAAGCATACTATTTGCTCTTTTTTTCCTTCTGTTTTTTTGTTTCTTCTTTCTGGTGGTTCCTCCTATTGTTTCTAATTCTTTCTTACAACATCACTAATGTGAAAATATGTTTAATAGGAATGTGTATGTATAGCCTATATTAGACTGCATGCTGCCTTGGGAAGGGAGGTGGGAGGGAGGGAAAGAAAAATTTTAAACTCAAAAGCTTATAAAGTGATTGTTGATAAATCAAAATATTAACAGAAAGTTTTACATAGTCCTTAACAACCATTATCTCACTTGATTTTTAAGAATTACGGGAATCAGAATCCCCTACATCTCCGACCTCCATCATTTCCCCATGCTCCCTGAAGGTCCACTAAGGAAGCAAGAGGCTGGAAATCTGATGACAATAGTTTGCTTAAATCCTACAGGAAGAGGAGCCTCCTGACATACCACCAGTATAACCTGTGCTGCCGAGGATTTCTACACCCATGGGAATGGTTTAGGTCTGGGCTATTCTCATGCCCTTATCCAAGGTGACTTCTATAACTCATTGGAAGATGACTGGTTAGAGCAGCAGAAGGGTGGAAGGGAAGCATGTGCCCTTCAGACTTATACAACAGAAGGATCAATGGAAATCATTAGAGTCAGGCTCCAAGCCTGGCTAGAGACTGACAGAAAGTCCCACTGTACCCCATGTACTCACCATGGTGGATGATCCCATTCTCCAGCAGGGCTTGACCCAAGTTGACCCCTTCCTCTGTTTTGCTTATCTCTCCAATCTCAATGAGCCAAGAAACAAATTCACTGCAGGACGGAGACAGATCTGTTGAATCAACTCAACTACCCATGTGCCCAGGGCTTCAAGACAAATATAAGAGAAGGTACTGCTCCTCACCTACTATCATCTGGTACACCATCATTTCTTAGGGGTAAAGGAGGGGAAAAGAGGGGGAGGTCTCCTACTGCCTAAGGAAAATGAAAATGCACAATGGAACCACTTTCACATCCCATCATCCCCACCAACCAACTCTTCACTATTCACCTATTCCCAACATCCTCTGGCCCACAGGATCTCCTAAAACTATGCCTTAGGACCATCACTGCATTCCTGATTATGAAGTCAGAGAGTACAAGTACACACGGCCCACTAAATCTAGTCAGCCCCAGAACCCATAGCATGCTTCATATATCATCCAACCCTCCACCCCAGCCACTCAGTCATACAGTGAGCAAGAGTGCTAGCCTTAAGGAGTCAGAAAGACCTAAGTTCAAATCCAGCCTCAGACACTTACTAGTTGTGTGACTCTGGGCCAATCACTTAACCTCTTTCTGTCTCAGCTCCCTCTCCTATAAAATGGGGGTGATGACAGCACCTACCTAAGAGAGTCGTCATGAAAATCAAATGAGATAATTTATGTACCACATTTTGTTAATCTTAAAGCAATATATAAATGCTAACCAAGGCCACCTTCTTGCTGCCTGCCCTGCCAAGACATTCTTATCTGCTGTTCCTAGAGCAAGAGGAGGGAATCATGTGTGGTTGTGGTGGTGGTGGTGGTGGTGGTGGTGGTGTATGTGTGTGTTGGGGGGGGGGGGGTGCACGCGCATGAGGCGGAGGCCAAGTCAATGCCGCCACTGCTTCTTTTTTAAAGTAATGTCATGTGATTCCCTTACAACTCTACTCATCATCTTGTGACTTACAAGCCAAAAACACTTTGGGGGCCACCACCCCCTTATGTATGCTGTACCTTGACAGCAGGGACTTTTCTGCTTTTGTATCTCCTCAAAGCATCGCACAGTGCTTGACTCAAAAGTGCTTAGTAAATACCAGTCATTTATTTTTTCATGGGCCAACAGTTTTGTTCTTTCTCCCTGGTATGGAGGGAACATGGTAGAGGAAACAAGAGTCCTGAACTTGGGTTCTTCTCCCAGCTCTGACACGTACTCACTGACTGACCCTGACTAAGTGAATTCCTCACTGTGGGCCTCAGTGTCTTCATTTGCAAAATTAAAGACCAAATTCATCGATCTCTAGGGTGTCTTCCTGCTCTGACATTCCATGATGATATGAGTCAGCTGGTACCCATAGGGAAATAGTAATAACAAGAGCCAGCATTTACCTAGCATTTTAAGACCTGCAAAGCACTTTAAATATTATGTTATTTGATCCTCACAACAAGCCTTTGAAAAGTAGCTGCTATGAATACCCCCATTTTACAGATGAGGAAAAGTGACTCGCCCAAGCTACTAACTTCTGTAGCACGATTTGCACTCAGGTCTTCTTGACTCCAGGTCCAACATTTTATCCACTGTAATACCTGTACCCTGTTGTCCACTACTATGAGCTGACTGAAAAGTCAAAGTTGACAAGGTCCCTAAAAATGCTTTTACTCACACACACACACACACACACACACACACACACACACACAGACATCACTGAAGGACACTAACAAAGCAACATATAAGTGTGAGCAGGCAGAGAATGGAGGGAACACGGAGTAAAGTGGACAAGTTAATTCAGGAAGACTTCCTAGACAAAGTGAGTTTTGCAGGAATTTCCTGGGGCAAGCAGTTGGATTAAGGTTGTTTCTAGGGTCCCAATTCTAAGATTCTAGGATTCTGGGGATTAAAAGAGATTCTGTGCTGAAGTTATGGTCGCAAGACCAGAGATTTAAAGATGCAAAGAAACTTGGAGATCACGGATCACATCCACCGAGAGCCGAAAGGGCTATTCAATCCAAGTCCCTTGTTTTACTGGAGTCCAGAGACTAAGTGTCTTCCTCAAGGTCACACAGGTAGAACAGAGCAGAGTGAGGATTTAAACCCAGAAGCTGAAACACCAAATCTGATGTACTATACTTCTCTATAAGTCTATACCTCTATGAGTCTAGGATTCTATGAGTCTAGGATTCTATGAGTCTAGAGTTCTAAGATTTCAAAATCTGACTGAAGCTGCTAGTTTAAAGAGAGAGAAGGACTTGCACTAAACCTAAGGGGATGGTTCTAGGAAGGATCAAGAGTGAGCTGAGCCAAGGAATAGAGATGGCTTTCTCCAGTAGAAGCTTCATCTCCATAATTATTGTCAACCTTCTGGGTGGGATGAGGCCCCTACGAGGACTCCCCAGGCCCCAGCCCATCTATGAGCTTACTCGGGGCTTACATCAGAAATATGTTACTCTTGGGACCAGGAACAAAAGGAAGAGCTAAGAGCCAAACAGTCTCCAAGAAATCTGGGTCCAATAAAGCCTGGCCACTGCTGCCAAATCGAAAAGGGTTTGCTGCCTATCAAAAGCAGCATTCCAGCCTCCCTCCGCTGGGGCTGACCATATTTTTAGCTTTTCAATGTTTTGCTAAAGTAGAGTGCCTGACTCATCCATCTGTAGGTAGGTGCATGTGTCTGAGGGGCAGACTAGACCTGAGGGGGGAAGAGGGAAGAGATAAAAATTACTCTGTTCCTGGGGAGGAGCCCCATGGGGAACACCAATTACTCTAGGGCTTCCTGCCCATACCCAGCCTCAGTCCCCCTAGCCGTTTCTTGAAGTCCAAGAAAACAGGGGAGAGAGAGAAGATTGTTTGCAGCCAGCTACAGAGAACAACAGATGTTTCTCACCCACATAAGGGAACCGGAGACAGCTGCCCCCATATTGCCCCATTCTGTGCCAAGATCTGGGATCGTTCACAGGCCCCAGGTCCAGCAGAGGGTGGAGGGCAGCACTTCACTGCTGGCTGGAGAGCCTGGCACAGGCCAGTTTATCATCACATGGCCTACGTTTCCGGCTGACCTTGTGACAAGCACTTCAGACCAGACTAAGGAATAAGAGTTTATTTGGTGAGTCAGGTGGCAAATAAGGAAAAACTTCCTAACAAGTAGAGTTCTCCAAAAGTGGAATAAGCTAGTGAGGAGGCAAGGAATTTGCCATCCCAAGGGGTCTTAAGGGAAGGCTAAACAATCTCTGGTCAGGGGATCTATACTGTAGAGATCTACAGGGATCTACACTGTAGAGAACCTTCCTGACATAGGAAGGATAAATTAAATGACCTCTGAGGTTCCTTCCAACTCTGAAACTGGTTCTATGACATTTCAAGAGTCCCCATGGTAAAAAGAGGGTGCCCTTGGTGATCACATTAACTTAACCCTAAGTACCTGAGCAGTTCATTTATCTATTAGACCCAGGAAACAAAAGACACATTAATGGCCAGATTGACTGAGTTACCGTTATCTCAATGTGACTTAGAGAAGGAGCTCTTAACCTGAGGTCTTCTGAAGAGTCTGTGGATATATTTCAGGAAGCCTATAAATTCCATCTTCATTTTCACTAATCTCTAACTGAAATTGAGCATTTCCTTCAATTATTTAAAAACATTTGATAAGAAGGGGCCCTTAGGGATTCAGTCTAATGACCAATGCCACACCCAAAGTTACAAAATCCTGCGTTACAAAAGATCACAAATCAGAGAAAAGAATGCAAAAGTTGGCAAGGACCTTGGAGAGAGAGTCAGTCCCTAGAGGACATGTATTCTACTCCTGATTTTGTATCCAGTGTCTAGCACAGAGCCTCCAACGTAACAGGTGTTTAAAAAATGTCGGATGAGGTGAACCGAGTCTAACCCTGCCCCCATTACACAGATGGAGAGACCTAGAGAGATGAGGTGGCTTGCTCAGGAAGAGTCAGCATTCAAATGCAAGTTCTTTGATTCCAAATCCAATCCCATTTTCCATTATATCACACTGCCTTCCTCCCTCATCCTGAAAGCCCCCCTTCTCTCCCAACCAAACCTAACCTATCCTTTCAGGACTAGTTCAAATCTCAGTATCTTAGGGGGTTCTGCAGTAACCACAGTTCACTATGGTTTAAGGTATAGACGGGAAGAAGAATAATCAGGATGGGAGATGTATTTGCAGTGTACAATGATCAAGGCTAGGGTTTGTGACTGAACCCCAATAATCTTTCCCTGATCATGCCAGCACAAAGTGAGCACTTCTTCCTCTGACCTCCAATGGCCTGGCATTGAAAACCTGCAAACTCTTGCCTCAGTCTACCTGGGATTTGTGTGTGATTTTCACGGGCTATGTTTTGTCTTCTCATTTAGACCATGGTCTCCTCAAGGTCAGGCTGCATGCCTGTATGTACAGACATGGTACTTGATAAACCACAGAATCATAAAGCATTAGACCTAGAAAGGGCCATAGAAAGCATCTGGCTCAAACCCTTTCATTTTCTAAACAGGGTAAGCTGACTTAGGAAGTGACTTAGCTAAAGTCACCTGGCAACTCAGCAGCAGAGTAAGGCAGGACACAGCCTCAGGCATCCCCATTTCTAATCCAAGACTCTCCACTACACCCCTACCTAGGCACAGCATGAAGGGCTAACTGTTTCTTGAAAGGTAACACTGAAAAAAGCACTGAAAGTCTTAGAAGACATAGGTTTGAATCTGGGCTCTGCCATTAACTGCCCTTATAACTTTAGGCAAGTTATAGCTTTTTTTTGTCTCATCAGTTAAATAAGAGGGGCTGACTACTGTCTGCTGTCCTCTAAATCCTAAGAAAACCACGTGGTACCTGGAGCCAACTCGATAAGGATGCTGGCTCTTTAAGGGCCACAGGGCACCCAGAGGTGAGAAAGTTACAAGAGCTGGCTCCAAGAGTGAAGAGCACAGGGCAAGGAGAGAAGAGGCAGAGGAGCATGGTCA